GCTCTTCCTTAATTATTTTAGTGAACACATCTGCAATTTTTGGGGTCTTTTTTGAGTTTTGAACTACGGTTTCCTTAGTCACCTTATGCGACTCTCTTGGCTTGAGGTAACAAGATACACCGATTGACTTTGCATACAGGAGAGAAACCCCAAACTATGGTGAAAGAAATAGATTGTCGGTTTAACCTTGTTTGAAAGTTCCGAGAGCAAGGTGTTGACATTTCTGAATGTTAGTCTTGAAGTTACCTATTTGTAGGCTTCTGATAATACATATAGATAGTTTAGGAATGGACTAGTGTCCCTTCATCTTGAAAATACAATTATTGCCCTGGAAAGATATAGTTACTTGTTGTAAAACATCTATTTTTATTGGATGACTATGATGTTAGAGTTGTACTTCAGCAAATAGAAATTAAAATTGTTCAGACATCGAGTATGGCATCTTACAAACGTTTCTCTATTTTGACATACAGATTATTTCTACTTGGTTTGGATAAGTATGGGAAAGGTGATTGGCGAAGTATATCGCGCAACTTTGTTGTGACAAGGACACCTACACAAGTGGCAAGCCATGCGCAAAAATACTTTATACGTTTGAATTCAATGAACAAGGATAGGAGGCGATCGAGCATTCATGACATCACAAGTGTTGGCAACGGAGACGTGGCAGGACCTCAAGGACCAATCACTGGTCAAGCAAATGGTTCCTCCGGAACAGCGTCTGGAAAATCAATGAAACAACCACCTCAACCTCCAGGAGGACCCCCTGGGGTCGGGATTTATGGCGCACCGACCATAGGACAGCCGATTGGCCCCCTCGTATCCGCAGTTGGCACCCCAGTGAATCTTCCCGCCCCTCCACAAATGGCATATGGTGTCAGAGCACCCGTAGCTGGAACAGTGGTTCCTGGTGCACCGATGAACATGGGTCCCATGACGTATTCGATGCCGCATACATCAGCTCATAGGTAACCCGCTGCTTTTACTACAAAATGTGCAAAGGACAGAGACTCTGCAGCTTGTGCTTATGCTGAGTCATTGGGATCCTTTTGCTCTGAACCTGAATATTTTGCTTATTTGCAAGGACAAGTTTAATGCTTCACTTTCATTTGTCTATTCTCGTATCAAATAAGCCACATGGGAAAAAATTACATGAATCTGTATAGGCAGTTGTGAAGGAGGCGGCGATATTTATGGCCAGGACAAGTATTTTAGTGCCTTTTCATTTTATAAACATGAAATGGAAATTTACTAGTCATTGGGGTAGTCAGTCCTGAAAAGTAGTTTTTTGTTGCACAAGTTGTAAAGAATCTTCTTTTCTTTATTTTTTCACACATGTACAATTCAGTAGGTTTTGCTATATTATTTATGGGACTTCTTACTGTTTGTTTTAGTAAATCGTCATTCTTAGAGGATGACTGTTTAATTGTATGTGGTATGTGTTATTCTTGGTTGGAAATTTTGGGTACCTCTCAAGTTTAATTGTATGTGGTTGAAATGAAAATTTTAGTTCTCTATTGAACTGCTGCACTAATAAATTGGTTTTTGGTGGTTTTGCTTTTTGGATTTGAGGTTCATTTGTGTCGGTTTCGTTTCAAAATTTCCAAGCTCTAGGATTGGATGGGCATGTAGTTTCCTCTATGGCATTCGAGCACTTCAGATTTTTTTCCCCCCTTCTGATTTAGTTATTCTTACATATTTGGCATGCCCTGTTCAATATATAATATTTAGAAGCTTTTGTCTAGGATTGACAATTCGGGTAGCGACACGACTCGAAATCCCTACAAAATTAGTGGGTTTGGGTTTATTATAAATGAGTTTGTGTTATAATCGGGTTGACACGATTAATAAATGGGTTGGGCTTGGATTGATCTCTTGAAACGAAGTGACACGATTAACTACATGTGTCATTTACAATATAATGATATGTGATATAACATGAGAGTTTGTATGACATATTAAATACAAATAATGTGAATTTTAAGATTTGTAGGTAAAATTGATTTATTTTTCTTAAAGAAAAGATAAATTGACTAATAAATATATTAAACTTGTCTTGACCGTGTTAAATAAGTCATTATTATATTAGTTATTTATTCAATATATTAATTTAAACAGATTATACAGATTGACACGATTAACACGATTAATAAATGAGTCGTGTTTGAGTTGACATTTTTAACATGTTTAATAAACATATCGTATTTGAGTTGATATTTTCTAACACGATTAATAAATGAATTGATACGAGCACCACCTACCAATACGAATTGCCACTCTTATTTTTGCCAAAATGCTGTCCATTTATCCTGTTTGTCGTCTTCAGTTCTTGTTGCGATTTAGGGATAACCTTTAAGTAAAAGGAGAGTTTGTTGAGCTTCTTTCTTTCTTTTCTTTTTCCTTTTTTTTTTTGTTTTTTGTTTTTCCCTAATAAAAGGATAAAAATGTTGATTGCAAACGGATAATTATGCTTTCTGTAAAGGTTAAATTCTTTCTTCAGATAAATTGAATTTCTTTTTATCTTTTTTTTTGTTTGGATAACTTAATATATTATATGTAGAGTGGGGAGGGGTTAAAACGCTTCTCTTTAATTTCTATAGGGGGCTAATTGAAATGTATTTAGATTTGAGGGGGAGTAAAATGGTTTTTCTCAAAGTTTATGGGGGGCTAATATGTTGATATAGCAAAGAAAACATACTACCTTTTAAAATTATAGAAAATGTGAGTGGCAGCCCCCCCTCTTATAGTACCTAGTCCATGCAAGCCTGATTAAAATCGCATAGGGAAAAAAAAAATTGAGATTAGCACTAATAATTAAATTTCTATTGAAGTACCACAAAGTAATAACTTATATGTAGCAAAATATAGTAAACAAATCAGTAACACTGTTAGCTAGGGCTTGGTGTGGGATGGTAGTAGATGCTAATCCAAGATTATGGTCCTTTCTCTTTCATTAAAAAGATGATGCTAATGAAAGTTGTTGATACCCGATTTTGTACGAGGTCCATTTAAGGGTCCAGGCCCAACCTTCGCGTCACGTGACGCTATTGGACTTGCTTCGTGGACCTAAGCCATGCTCAAAGAACTCCAGTGGGTTGTGATTTTGTGGGCCATGTGTGATCAAGTAGGCTCATTTATCGTTTAATTTGATCCAATTTGAATCTTACTTGAGTAGTTTTTAGAATTAATTAGATTAAATAAAAATAGGTGATTAAGAATTCTCAAAAGCCTTCCTATCGTCCTTTTGGAAGCCCTAAAACCCCTTAGTTCCTACCTTATAACCTTTCATATCCGCGAAGGTTGATTTTTAGTATTTTAACTCTGACGGAGGCTCCGTTCGTGCCGGAAATGCCTAATGGAGCCATCGTCTGTATCAGACATTGTTAGTGTTTATGCCCTTCAGGAATAAATTTAACAATATTTACTAGACATTTTTTTCTAGTTAACAATGTTTATTAGTTGAATGTATGATAAACAAACTAGAAGTATGAGACTGTCGCTCTAAATTTTTAGATCGTGCATATAATGTGAAGATTATGCAGAAGAAATGAATCTAAAGATGATAGTCTAAATAATATGATCCGCAATCGATGGAATAAAGTTGGACGCTTTATTCATGTTAGGATTGTTACGTTGTTTATTTCTTAACGGAGATGACTTGTCTTAGTCGTCGAAGGTGGGACTCCATCAATAGAGACATTGATATAGTTTTTAGTGATGGAATCTATATTGGATCGGACCAAAGTTGAATTGTTTTAATTAATAATTCTGTTTGAATAAAACAATTCACTTTTGACTAATTATATGTTATCATCTTAATACTAAGATGAATAATAAACCCGTATACTTGACTTGTGCCTTTTGATGTTCCAAAGAGAGACATCCTATCTGTCACGACCCCAGATATGAGACCATGATTATTAGAATTTAATTAAAGAAAATTAGCTTAATTAAACTAGAGTGTTTAATGAAAACCACGAAAATAAATACATAAATATCAAGATATATTACTCCGGAGGCTTTCTTTTACAAATAATATTAAAATAGTCTATAATTTTAAACTTTACACATCTCAGGGATAATGCCGACCAATACAAATCATATACAAGTATACAGTACAATTTTAGAATTTAAAAACTGTAAATTCTAGTTAAAACAAGCCACCTCATATCTCGAACCTTCAATCTGTTGACGTCAGCTTACCACGTTGCTAGTCAAGCTACTAACTCTGGAGGGGAGAAAAACATTTGAAACATGAGTGAGCCAAATGCCCAGTAGGAGAGTAAAAGTGGAATACAATGAAAAATAAGTTTAGAAACAATAGTTTCAGTATTTGAAATCCTTAAAACAAAACCTTAGCACCTGCGAAGGGTAAAATCAAAACTGAAAATCTCAGCAGGTGTAAACATCTTTTGAATAAAATAGATAATCAACTATTTTAAAACCCCTTTTAAAATACTAAAACTATCTCAAATTTATTTCCAACTATGTACAAGGAATCTAATCCTTTAGGTAATCAACAAGTACCAAGTACTTGTAATTCCATTTAAATTCTAAAGCATCCTTGAACTTGAAGTTCATAAGAGAAGACTAGAAATCAAACACCGGTAACTAGAATGCTCTCTAATAGTACCGGACATAAAGTCTAACATCTGTGCTAAGCCAATGTAACACCCCGAGCTGGTTTTGGGACCTGCGCCCAAGGATACGATCTCCATATCCCAATCTCTCAGCCATTAAGCACACTAAGGGGCTGCTCTTTTGCCATTTTTGAGTTAGGTGACTTGAGTGTAGATTTTGTGTTGAGTTTAAGTTATAACTTGAGTTGAAGTTGTAACTTGGGTTTGTGTTTGGTTGTGTACATTTGAGTTATGGTTTGAGATAAAAATCTTTTTGAGTTTGTGTTTGAGTGAGTCAAAACTTAAATTTGTATTTAGATAGTATTTTAATAAAAACTCAATGCTGATGGAAAATTTTAATAGGGTGAATGGGTGGGGTTTTATTCATCTTTTCGTTGTCAACGCATAGAAAAAAAAATCATCTCAATCAGAATTAAAACGAAAAAGTTATAGCATTTTTAAGAATAGAAAAAATACTGTTCATTAATTCGAGTTCGAGTTTCTGAACTCGAGTTGAAAGGGAAACTTAAACTCGAGTTTTAGTCTCAAACTCGAGTTCAAACTTGAGTTCAAACTTAAAAGAACATGAACTTGAATAAAGTTGTAACTTGAGTTACTTTTTTTGAATTTTTAACTCAAAAAAGGAGCTGCCGAACAGCCCCTAAGTATCTAATTGCTCATCAGGTAGTAAGGATATTTTACGTCCTAAAAAATAGCCTTAAAGTACAACAAAAAAAAAAAAAACGTTTTCTAAACCGTTAAAGAACCATTTTAATATTATCAAAAACACATAATACTAAAAAAATGTTTTGCTATAACAGGGCACTAAAATGATTTTATTCTTATATTTTAACATAAAACCTTGTTTTATCAAAAGATTAAGTGGAAAAGGGTTTCTTGATGAAAAACTCATGATCTCAATCGTTGGTCCATTGGTAATACATCATGATACCAACTCTTAGGAAGTGATTCATTATATTCCGGTTGGATCTCTGAAGAGATAATTTATTTGAACATATTTTATGGTTGTGTACCCCTAAGTGACAATTATAAAATATGGATTAAATAGTTAAAGCGATGCTTATACACTCAAGATTAATTTAATTATTAATCTCCTATTGGAGCTTTGTTAATTAAATTAATGGACAAAAAATGATTATTAATATGTACTAGACTTGGATTAGTCTTGGATGGTATATACTAAACAGATGAGATTCGTGTTTTCGATTAAATTTTGTATGATCCCCTAGGAGGCTTATAAAATTTTGTCCGGAATTATTGTTGTAAGGTTGTGATATTTTTAAGGTTTTTACACACAAACATATTGGTTGCATTATGATATGTATATATGTTTGATTACTAAAATATTATGCAAGTTTACTGATACTCAATATATGAATGTTTATTGTAGTTCAAAATGTCTGCAAGTGCTCTATTTTCGATACTAAAAAAACATACTTTGACTTGCGAGAATTTCACTGATTGGAAAAGGAACTTAAAAATCTTCCTGAGCTTTGAGAAATTGAATTTCGTATTAAATACACCTTGTCGTCATAAGCCACCTGTTGATGCTCCTAATGAGATTTCTTAGCGTACCAACGCTGGAAAGACTTTGACGATATGACTCGGTGCTATATGATGGCCAGTATGTCCACTGCGCTTCAAGCATAACTTGAAGATTACCAAATTGGTTGTCAAATCATGGATAATCTTGAAAAGATGTTCGGTGGCTAAGTTGCTGAGAAACGTCAGTAAGTGCTTCATAACCTCATTAATTGCAAAGAGAAGGTTGGGTCTTCCATTAAGAAACGCATGCTGAAGGTGATGGGCTATTTGCCTGATGACCATGATCTCTGTGATTCTGTCAAAGGAGTATATTCTGTTTAAAGCAACATTCATTTTAAGCAATAGATAAAATATTGTTGGTTTTCGAAACAATTTTAGATGCGGAAGCGTGTGTTTAGCGGATCGTGTATAACAAAAATTTTCATAAAACTTTGAGATACTCTATAGATTATATTAATTTATGCCTGAATAAATTAATCAAATTAATTTATTTACCTAGTGGACGATTATTCGATAACTTGAATTCTTTGACCTCGAACGTTCCTCGCTCCAAGTTAATTTGGAACACCCGAATCTTCCTCGTCAATTCCTTGTATCCACAAAGATGTGTGTGTGGGCACACCTAAAACAAAACGGGATTAGTGAATAAACACTCAAGGTTTCCACGAACACCAACATATGCATGACGTAGAATTTTTAGAGAAAATTTTCCTTCCCACACTCTATAGAAAACCGGCCACACTATGCTAGGGAGAGCAAAAATTGTATTGTCCAATTTTTTACAATCTCCTATTTATAGAGTAATAGTCAGACTCTCAGAAAAGGCTAATCTTTATCTCCAAGATAAAGCTTGATAATTATCTCCAACTTCAAATTTGATTTTGAAACAAAATCTCTCTACCTGATACACATGTCAATTTTGACTAAAATTTAAATTCCAATTTAAGTTAAACATAAATAAATTTGAATTTCAAATTGGACAACTTATCAAATATGTCAAATGGATAACTTAGAGAGCAAGCAACTGAATTCCAGAGAGATTCACACTATAGTGTGCATTCACACTATGTGAACACCTTCACATGTCTGTTTCAACATTCAAATTTAAACTTAAACTTAAATAATCACATTATTTAATTTATAATTAATTCTAGATTAATTATCATTGAGCGTTTTATTTTAAAATTCTATAATTTTAAAATTCTCATTTTGCACTTAGTGTCTTATAGAATTACAAGGACAACGCAGGAACTCATGGACCTATAATTTTGAACTCTAAAAAAATTAATAATTAATTCTAAAAGTTACTCCACTATAAACTTGGAATTGCACTATCATAAAAATAGACATAAATTACTTCTAAACTGTGAAGTGTCCATTTGATATAGTCATTACATATACATCAATCTTTCATAAATAATTCATAATTAGAGCAAGGTAAAATCTGTTACGTACCTTTCTAATTGCATCTTTATCCTTGAGTACCATTGATTTTCTAATGGACAGTGATTCACAAAACAAATTCATGAATCGGAGCTCCTACTAGTCCAAGTACTGAATCAACCCTCAAGGAAATTATTTATCTACTTATTTCTCAAGAAGCAATGGATTTCATCTCGTGTAATAACATTCATGGCTACTCACTTCATCATATCTCTAAAATACAAGGAATAAGATTTAGGATCTTGGAATCCGTACCGAGTAAATCAAAAGAAAAAAATTCATAAATAGAAGTCTGCTAAGAACTCAGGATTAAGATCATTCTATATATAACCATCGGTAGACTCAATTAGAATTTCTATAGTTAATAGAAATTATCAAAAATTTATATTGTGTCGGTGTCCTTGTTCCACATAATCTTATCTTGCGTAATACACTCATTCAATATCTCACCATATTAACAGTGCGGATAACACTATTCCATTCTTAATGGGAATGACCTGTATTAGTAATATTTTAATTAAAGATTCTGAACTTTATTTAAATTCATTATGAACATCGTTTTTATTATTATCCTTAAATATTATCCTCTCGCATATAACACTTATATATAATATTTAAGGTCACATAAATAATCATGAAATTTTCGCTGATATTCATAAAATATTCATTAATTTATGCACAAAAAATAATGAATAAACTCTTTTATTAAATGAATAATAAATATCTTATCATATCTCATGCTTTTAGGACACCATTCCCAACAAATATAACCCTATCAGAGTTGATGCAAGAACTTCAGAAGTTTAAACGTATGATAAAAGGGTCAACTTTTGTGGAGGCTAACTTGGCCAAGGCATCTACTTCCAACATCATCCCAGGGAATGGAGAGAAGAAGCAAAGAGCCAAGAAGGAGTGTTTTTCTATTCCGCCAACCAAGGGCAAGAATAATAATAAGAAAAAGAACCCAAACAAGCTCAAGTGCTTTTGTTGTGGGAAGGTGGGCCACATGAAGAAGAATTGTAAGGACTATCTAGCCTCTAAAGGCAAATGAGGTAAGTATGATCTTTTAATTGTGGAAGCATGTCTATTTGAAGAATCCAATGACACTTGGGTCACAGATTCTGGAAAAACTAATCATGTGTGTGTTTCTCTGCAGGGGTTCAAGGAAACGAGAAGTCTTTTAAATGAAAGCTTCACGTTGAGGATGGGGGATGGAACTCTAGTGTTGGTTGAAGCTGTGAGAAACGTCCATCTTTATTTTGATAGTTATGGGCATTTAATTTTCCTAGACTATTTTTATGTTTCTCAGTTTAAAAGGAATCTTATTTCTGTCGCTTGTTTATTTAGAGATTCTTATTCAGTTTATTTTAATAATAAAGTCATGATTCATAAAAATAAGTCTTTTATCTTTGATAGATGGATACAAAATAATCTATATTTTATCAAACTTAAGATGGACTCATTGCTGGACACTGAAGTTGTTAATAACTTTAAAAGGCTTAAAAGTTTACATTCTAATAAGAGATATCTTTAACATTTGCGATTAGGTCATATTAGCCTAAACATGATACAAAGGTTGGTACATGATGGACCTTTAAGTTCCTTGGAGGTTAAATCCTTACCATAATATGAGTCTTGTTTGGAGGGCAAAATGACCAAGAAACCATTCGGGTCTAAGGGCAACAGGGCCGAAGAGGTTCTAGAACTTGTTTACAGTGACTTTTGTGGTCCCATGAATGTCATAGCATAATATTATGTCACCATTATTGATGATTACTCAAGATATGGTTATGTGTACCTAATGCACCACAAAAGAAAAACTTTTGAGAAATTAAAGGAGTTTCGGGCTTAAGTGAAAAAGCAATTGGGTAAACCCATAGAGACACTTTGATCCGATTGAGGTGGAGAATACCTCTCTAATGAGTTTATAGGATACTTATTAGAAAATTAGATACTATCCCATTTGACTATACTAAGCACTCCACAGCAGAATGATGTAGATGAGAGAAGGAATATGACTTTGTTGGATATGGTATGATCCATGATGAGTTATTCTATATTGCCTATATCTTTTTGGGGATAATGCACTACAAACTGCATGTTATCTTCTAAACAATGTGCTTTCAAAGTCGGCTCTTAAAACTCCTCATGAGTTGTGGATAGGCAAAAAGACATCCTTAAATCATATTTGCATATGGGGATGTCCTACACATGTCTGGAATAACCTTCAGAAGTGTGCATTTTTGTAGGATTTCCAAAAGGGATGAAAGGGGGTTATTTCTATAATTAGAAGGAAAATAAAGTCGTGGTTTCCACAAATGCAACATTCCTTGAGAAAAGTTACATGAACGACTTTAAGCCTCGTAACAAAGTGGTGCTTGAGGAAATATCATGCAATTTGATCGCATCGACTGTTCCTTTGAAACTGAACCAATCAGAGTGGAAAAACCAACAGAACAACCACCTAGGGAGCTTCGGCATAGTGGGAGGATTATGCTTGAACCTGAAAGATTCATGCCTAATGGGAAAACCTTTTTAGCATAATCTTTAGAACACGACAAAGAACCTTACAACCATGGTCTGGAATTACTCTTTCAAACAATGATTGTCCAAAGGCATCTGAGGAAAGAGAATACATGACAAAGGTACCTTATACTTCGGCGGTTGGTAGCCTCATGTATGCAATGCTTTGCACACGACTGGATATTTGTTATGCGGTCGGGATCGTAAGTTGATATCAGTAGAATCCAAGATCTAACTATGAAAAAAATATTTTATTGTATAATAGTTTTCAAAACTTTTCATATATGCCCACCTTTATCAATAACATTTATATTCACCCCCTCATTAACAAGTTTTTATCCAATTTATCCTTTCTAAACTGTTTTTTTAGATATGGCTTAAATATTTTTTTTTCTCTAATTAATTTTCTCCATTGAAGTAATATTTTTATTTTTCAAATGTATGCCTATTTAAAAAGAATTACATTATATTACTAGACACAACGAAACACGATAAAATAATATTTATGAGAATTTAAGAAAAAAATTCTTATATGTAACCAAACATGATAATGCATGTTTTCATAGAATCATATTATCTTGGTAATATGATTCTTTTTAATTACTGCATACCAAAACACCCCCTTTATGGTTTTGCATAATGAACATTTTTCTGGATCATATTTGTTTTATCCTCAAGATTTTGTGTGTCGGTGTTCTTGACAAAGTTTAGAGAAACCAGTAGTAGTCTTCTCGCCACTGTGCAAGACTAAAGGCTATTAAATATAAAACGGACTGCAAGATTCTGATCAAATTTTTTATAACAAACGTATATTCTTACCATTCGTATTATGAAGTTGAAGGAAGATTATACAAAATATAAGGCGTATTTGTAACTCGTTTCAAAATGATTTTATTTTTTATATAAAAGTGAATATGAAAACGTTTTCAATCTCATACAGAAATTATTTTTAAAAATGCATTTGGTAGTTTTATCAAGAGATTATTTTCAGTGTAAAAAAACTCATTAATGTCTCTCTTTCTCTCTACTCGAGAGAGGAGAAAATGAAAATAAAAAAATGAAAAACGACTAAAAGTCGTTTTTTATTTATCTATCATTTTACACTAAATTAAAAAATCATTTTCATTTATGTTTTTTTGTCTTTATTGCGCCAAACGCCGTTTTAGAAACGTTTTCATTTTTTCTTTCTTAAAAAATGTGAAAAATAAAAACGAGATCAATTTTAAACACGGCCATATGTTTAAGTGAGACTTTAACATCAGTTTTGAATTTCCATTTCTTTCAATGTATTTACAACTTTCTCCATTTCCATTCTTCGACTGCCCTTGACCAAAACAACATCACCACAACCAATCTGCTTGAGAATTTTCACTGCAATACTTTCTGCATCATGAGAAACTACGGGCCTGTTCGGCAACTCTGTTTTTGAGTGAAAAACTAAAAAAAAAACAACTCAAGTTACAACTTTATTCGAGTTCATGTTCTTTTAAGTTTGAACTCGAATTTGAACTCGAGTTTGAACTCAAGTTTGAGACTAAAACTCGAGTTCAAGTTTCCTCTTCAACTCGAGTTCAGAAACTCGAACTCAAGTTTAGAAACTCGAACTCAAGCTAATGAACATTATTTTTTCTATTCTTAAAAATGCTATAATTTTTTCGTTTTAATTCTGATTGAGATGATTTTTTTTCTATGCGTTGATAATGAAAAGACGAATAAAATCAGACCCATATATCCTATTAAAATTTTTCATCAGCATTGAGTTTTTATTAAAATACTATCTAAATACAAATTCAAGTTTTGACTTACTCAAACACAAAGAGGTTGTTCTTTTGGAGTGTAACTTGAGTATAGTTTTTGAATTGAATTTGAGTTATAACTTGAATTGAAGTTGTAACTTGAATAAAGTTGAGTAAAGTTAAATAAAACTGAAACTTAAAAGAACGTAAACTTGAATAAAGTTGGAACTCGAGTTGTCTTTTTTTAAGTTTTTTGGACAAAAAAACATGCCCAAACTCAAAAAGATTCTTATCTCAAACCATATGTACACAACCAAACACAAACTCAAATTACAACTTCAACTCAAGTTATCACTTAAACTCAACTCAAAATCTACACTCAAATTATATAACTAAAAAATGTCAAAAGAACATGCCCTACAACTTTTCTGTCTTTAACTAGATTTAGATTTGGGGCCGCAATAAAAAATCTCTTCCCAACAAGAGAAAGTAAATCAATACATGCATCACAACTATGTTCAAAATCATGTCATGAAACATTATTTCATTTGGGCCGAGTTCTAACATGTCTCCAAGTATGGCAACTCTTTTGCCTTTGCACTCCATGCTATTTAGCAAGTCAATGGCAGCTTTGGTGCTAATAGGATTGGCATTGTAAACATCATTCACAATTTTGATGCCATTTCTAGCTACTATAAGCTCTGATCTCATGCAAACCGGGGAAAACGTCGACAAGGAAGTTGCAACTTGTTTTAGGGGAACCCCTAGATGAGTAGCGGCTGCTGCCGCTGCACATGCATTATGAGCTAAATGTAGTCCCGGAATAGGAATCAGCAGTTCGACCCTGAAAAGAAAACATTGTGTGAAAAGATATCTATGTTTCGAAGTTCGAACTATACAAAATTTAAGGCTCCATATCTCTGCGTTATCTGCTTCAAACTATGTTTAGAATCATAACTGATGAACAACCTAATAGCCATGACGCCGATTACAAGGATCTGAAAGTTTCAGCTATTGGTACCTGATTGTATGCCTCTCAAGCTTTCGAATTTCAATCAGAATAGAGCTCAGAATCTTAAGTTTCAGCTACATGCAAGAAATTATCCCATTTGAAATAAGAAATCAACATTTCTAAGGAAAATAAAACAAAGTGATCATTAAAAACCACAATGCAAGTTTAAAGGAGCGTAGAACAAATTTGCCGCTAGCACACAACCTGAACAGACAACAAAAGCCAAAAACCTAACAGAGTATTCTATCTTCCATAAGCATACAGAGATAGAATCATAGAAGTAGAAAAGTTGTAATGCTGTTTTCTGAAAGTAAACTCCGCTGGTTTTGAATATATTCTCTTATCTTCTCATATTCTCAAATTTAACAACTGACTAATTCAGATGAAAAATGCATATAATGAACTTACATCTCTTCATCTTTTTCTAAAACAACTCGAAGTGCATGACCTCCATCTGCACTTTCTGCTGCCACCAGCCGAACGTCACACCCCATTCTCCGCCCAAAGAGTACCTAGTATTACCAATGCCAATATACTAAACTCATCCGATCAATATTCCAATTCCAGGCACTCTTGAAAATCCACTCCAACACTTCCCCAGCGGTCAAATTTTCAGATTCTAAAAGACAAACAATATCAAGTAATAAAAAACCAGCAGCATTACTCGGTATATTGACAGCTTTTTCTACATATACAAACACCAGAGCATTTCTAATAATATATATCACAAGTGTAATGTAGAAAACAAACAAATTCCACGTCTTTCAAGCAAAATTTTCATAATGCGGCAAAACACCATAACATGCCAAATACAATTTACAAACCACAAGAGCTTGCCGAATTTCACAGATCACTATACCATGAACAAACAACACAAATACTGAAAGAAAAGTTAAATAAATTAGAAACTCTGAGAAAATGTAGCAAAAAACCAAGACTAGAATTATGATTAACTAACCCTGTTAACCCCACGAGGTACTGGGAGGCTCAGAACTAAGGGATCATCAGCATTCATAACACAAACATCCCCAGGCTTAGCCTCCACAAGAATTTCCCCTTTCGCCATCGCCAAGTCCTCCAAACTTGCGAAATTCGCCAAATGCGAAGCCCGGACATTCAGAACCACTCTAACACTTGGCCTGGCCATCCTTGCCAGCTCCAAAATCTCGCCTTTCCTAATCATTCCCATCTCCAAAACTCCAACCCCAGCATTCCTAGGCATCCCAATTAGTGACAAAGCAACCCCAATTCTATTATTCCAATTCCCATTACCTCATAAACCATATTTGCAATACCACCAAGAGCCAAAGCTATCATGGCTTTTGTAGTAGTTTTGCCAACACTCCCAGTTACTCCTATCAGCTCACCACTAAACCTATCTCTTGCATAACTAGCCATCATCATAAGTGACAAAATAGTGTCTCCTTTGATTTCTACAAAACCCTTGTCCCAATTCTCACAAACCCTTTTCCCAATAACTCCAACACAGCCTTTGTGAGACAAATCTGGGGTTATGAAATCATGGGCATCAAAATTTTCACCGCAAATGGCAAAGAACCACTGGTGGGGTTGAAGGGTTCTGGTGTCTGTGGAAATGGTACCGGGTGGGCCCCACTTCACGATTCTGCCATTGACGGCCTGAGCTATCTCGGTGACTGTCCAGAGAGGGAGAAATTTCTGCGCTTGGTGGGTGTTTTGGGAAATGGAATTTGTGGGTTTTGTTACTGCGTAGCATGTGGGTTTTGTGAATGTGTGTAGGTGAGAAAATATGGGATTTGTGATTGAATTAATCATAATGTGATTTCTGACGATTTTTTAAATCAAAAAGAAGGAGAAGAAAAGGAAGAAGTTCATAGACCTGATAGTGAACTCACTAGCTCGTCTGTTAGTACAAAAAGAAGAGACCAAAAGTCGAAGAAGAGGTTGGTGGGAAAGATCATGGCTTTGGCCTCTGAGTTTGTTGTTTGATGAAACATCCTCGTTTTGACGAAAGTGGGGAAAGAGTGTTGACAGTCAACGTGAGTCCAACAAGACGACAGACTGACAAGCGAGTGATGTTTTCTTGTGTTTGAAATATGAAATAATAGATAGATTTAAAATTATAATTTAAAATTATAATTTAAAATTAATATTTATTTATAGTAATTTTAAATTATTATTTATAATGAGTATTTAATTTAGATGATTTAAGATTTGATGTAACGTTTTAAATTAGTTTAAATTATAATTTTAAAATTATTTACTCTCTTGATTTAAGGTGAGTTAAACTATAATTTTGATTTATAGTTTCAGAATTATGATTTAAATTTAAAATCATAAATTATAATTCTAATTTTAGAATCATAATTAGAATCATTATGATTTAAATTATCATACTAAACGAATCTTATGTGTCGTTTTTATTTAGTAAAAGTCTCATTTAGGCCCCGTTCATTTCACCGATTCGAGTTTAGAATTTGAGTTTTGCTACAGTAAAAAGCTCTCACAAACAATCACATCTAACTTTTTTGCTACAGTAAAAAGCTCTCACATAAAATCACATCTCAACTCGAATTATAAACTCGAATCAGCGAAGTGAACGGATCCTTAGTTATGTTTTTTTTTATTATTTTTTTTATGGTCATTAACTTTTATTTAACTTTCGTCCTCTTTTTCCCCCCCCTTTTCCTACTTTATCAACTGCATTCACTAATCAGGAATTCTAATTTTGGTTCACTAATCAGGAATTCTAATTTTAGAAGAGTTACTCCTTTTAAATTCCAGTGTTTACTTTTATTTTAGGGAATTAATAAAGAATTTAGTTCCACTTATAAATAAAGAATTTAGTTCCTGACCAAAGGGGAACTCGTCTCCCTCCTCATGGAATTGAATTTCACTTTGTCCGAGAAAAAAGTGAGTAAATTTCCTTCCAAAATTAACCTTACTCCACGTTTTATACACAGTTTTGCTATTGCTTAGCACACTTTCTACTTTTTTAATTATTTATATTATGAATTAGTGCATTGTAATTTATGCTTTTTTACATTATGAATATAATTTTTTGGTTATCAGTATTATATATTCACAGGAAAGTCTTATATCATATTGTTATATTTTAGTTTATATTGTGATAAATTAATCTTATATCATAATATTATATTTTAATTTATATTATGAAAAATGACTGTAATTATATTTTTAAGGATAATTTTGGAATTACATATATTTTTATTCCAATTCCTTTGTTTAGTAAGCAGTATAATAGGAATCATCTAATTCCTCCGGTAACTTAATTTCTGATAGATCAGTAAACACTTTAATAAAAATTTAAAATCTATTAAATTCCTATTTAGTAAACGCGGCCCCGACATTCCTTTTCACGTCAAATTCAAACATTATGGTCGTGTTTAGAATTAATCCTGTTTTTATTTTTCATGTTTTTTGAGAAATAAAAAATGTATAACTTGGAGAGCAAGCAACTGAATTTCAGAGGGATTCACACTGTGCTGAGCGTTCACACCATGTGAATACCTTCACATGTGTGTGTCAAAATTTAAATTTAAATTTAAATAATCACATCATTTAATTTATAATTAATTCTCAATTAATTAGTCTTGAGTGTTTTATTTTAGAACTCCATAATTCTAAAATTCTCATGTTACCCTTAGTGTCTTGTAGGATTATAAGGACGACACGAGGACTTATGGACCTATAATTTCGAGCTCCAATAAAATTAATAATTAATTAAACACTTTAATTAATTAATAAATTCTATTAATTTTAAAAGTTACTCTACTATAATCTTGGAATTACACTCTCGTAATTATAGACATAAATTACTTCTAAACTGTGAAGTGTCCATTTGATATAGTCATTACATATAGATCAATCATCCATAAATAACTCATAATTAGAGCTAGGTGAAATCCATTAACCTTTCTAATTACATCTTTATCTTTGAGTACCTTTGAGTCCCTAATGGACAGTGATTCATAAAACAAATTCATGAATCAGAGCTCCTACTAGTCCAAGTACAGAATCAACCCTCAAGGTAATTATTCATCTACTTCTTTCTCAAGAAGGAAGGCATTCCATCTTGTATAATAACATTCTCGGCTGCTCACTTCATCATGTCTCCAAAATACAAGGAATATGATTCATGATATCAGAATCCATACTGAGTAAATCAAAAGACACAAACTCATGAATAGGAGTCTGCTAATAACTCGAGATTAAGATCATTCTATATATGACCGTCGGTAGACTCAATTAGAATTTCTATACTTAACAGAAATTATCATAAATTCATATTGTGTTTATGTCCGTTTTCCACATAATCTCATTATGCGTTATACATTCATTCAATATCTCTCCATATTAACAGTGCGCATAACACCGTTCCATTCTAAATGGGAATGACATGCAATAGTAATGTTTTAATTAAAGATTGTGAACCTTAATTAAATTCATTACAAACATCGTTCTAATTATTATCCTTAAATATTATCCTCTCGCATATAACACTTATATACAATAATTAAGGTCACATAAATAATCATAGAATTTTCAGTGCTATTCATAAAATATTTAATAATATATGCACATAAAATAATGAATAAACTCTTTTATTAAATTACTAATAAATATCATATTACATCTCATCTTTTAGAACACTGTTCCCAACATTCGGGTTGTGTTCTCACCGATTGCCTCCTCGCCAGAGTCGTTTGATGGCGGGTCTTGAGATCTTTTTCTGTTTATAGTGTTTTTGTTTGTGGTGTGTTTTCTTTACTGTAATAACTAGGGCTTTCGTCATGTTGTCTTGGTTTTTTTTTTGTGTCCGTTGGACTACTATCTTGGCGGTGTTTGGTGTAGCCTTAGTACTATCATGTTTTGTCCCTCAATCACTGAAAAGCTTATATTGTTGGGAGGGATTTTATCAAATAGAGCCTTAGGTGTGCTCAATCTTTCGTTTTCAGGGCTCAGGTGTACATTTGTTCCCTGCTGGGTCATTAGCCTTGTTTTGTGATGTTTGGTACTCTGTTTTTGTTTAAATGTAAGTTCCCTAAGATATGGGTTTTATTAAAAAAAAATATTGAAAATTGTTAGAGAAAACACACTCTTATACCCATACAACAAAAGAGTAGACTAAAATAAAAATAATAAAAAAAAATAGAGCAGTAAAAAATTTACGTGATTCAGCTCAATTACTTATGTCCATGTGAGTGGGAGAAAATATTCGTTAACATCTTCATAATTACACACTCAATAATATTTCTCAAATTCTCTCTCTATCCAATACCCTTTCACCCTTTGCCCATCTCTTTTATTATTTTTCTCTCTTTCTTTCAAAAGGAGGTACTTCTTTTTTTGCACTTTTTTCTCTTTTTCTCAAAAGGAGGTACTCTTTCTTTGCACTTTTCTCTTACCAAATAAATCCCTACACAAAGTATTTATTTATAGACTTTTAATGAGCTATAAAATAATCCGTTCCAAAAAACATAAGATGTAATAAGGATATTTTATTATTTGATTAATAAAATAGTTTCTTCATTATTTATGTGCATGTATTATTGAATACTTTATGAATATCATTGAAAATTCCGTGATTATTTATGTAATCTTAAATATTGTATATAAGTGTTATATACGAGAGGGTAATATTTAAGAATAATAATCGAAACGATGTTCATAATGAATTTAATTAAAGTTTCGTAATCTTTAATTAAAACATTACTAATACGTATCATTCCCATTAAGAATGGAATGGTGTTATCCACATCATTAATATAGAGGGATATTGAATGAGTGTATTATGCATAATGAGATTATGTAGAACTGTGACACAGACACAATTTGATTTTCTGGTAATTTCTGTTAGATATAGAAAATCAAATTTGAGTCTACCGATGGTCATATCTAGAATGATCTTAATCCTGAGTTGTTAGTAGACTCCTATTTGTAGATTCATGTTCTTTAATTTAGTCCATATAAATTTTGAGATCCTAAATCTTATTCCCTATATCTTAAGAACATGATGAAATGGATAGTCAGAATGCTAATATACAAGATGAAGTCCATTCCTTTTAATTTGAAAAAGAAGATAAATAATTCCCTTGAGGGTTGATTCGGTACTTGAATATGTAACGAGCTCGTATTCATGAATGTGTTTTATGAACATACTATTCATTAGAGAATCAATGGTACTCAAGGATAAATATGTAATTAGATAGATTAGCGGATTTTACCTATCTCTAATTATGAATTATTTATGGAGGATCGATCTATATGTAGTGACTATATCAAATTGACACTTTATGTTCTTAGAAGTAAATTATATCTATAATTTTGAGAGTGCAATTCTAAGTTTTTGGTGGAGTAATTTTTTGAAATTAATAGAATTAATCAATTAATTAAAGAATTTAATTAATTATTAATTTTATTAGAGATCAGATTTATAGGTCCATGAGTCCTTACGTCATCCTTGTATTATTTGTAAGACAAGATGAATTATCTGGATTTTATTTAACTCGTGAATAATTAATTAAGAATTAATTATATATTATATAATGTGATTATTTAATTATTTTGTCACACACTGTAGTAGGTCCACAATGGGTGTGTGACATAGGAAAAAATCTCACTGAGATTTAGTTGTTTGCTCTCCAAGTAATCCAGTTTACTTGTTTGACAAGTTTTCCAATTAAATTCAAAAAAAAAGGAAAGCAAAGTGTTACTTTATTTAGAATTGAATTTGAGCTAAAATTAGAAACTAGAGAAAGCAAGAATTTTTTCTCTCTCCTCCTTAGTTTGGCCAACCACCCTATAAGCAAAAGGGAAGGAAAGTTGGTTTCCAAAATTAAAAGGGAAACTGTATTTTTAATGAGATTAAAAATATAGTAGTTACCAATTTTCTATGTCTTTGTTTACAAGCAAAAAGGGTTCTCCTAGTATTCTATAAAT